TTTTGGCTCAGGTCATGACCTCACGGTTTGTGGGTTTGAGCCCTGCATCAGGCTTTGTACTGACAGCATGGAGCCTGCTTGGGATTCTTCTCCCTCTCTGCGCCCCTGCCCTCCTTTATGCTCTTGCTTTCTTTCTCAAAAATAAATAAACTTAAAAATCTTTTTAAAAATAAAAAAGTAATCTGTACACCCAGCATTAGGATTGAACTCACTACCCAAGATCAAGAGTCACCATGCTCTAGTGACTGAGCCAGCCAGGCACCCCCTAATTAATGCTTTTAATTCAGAGGTGTGACTATAATTTTTTTCTTTTGTCAAAACAAACAAACAAACAACCAGGGCGCCTGGATGGCCCAGCTGATTAAGCGACCAACTCTTGATTTTGACTTAGGTCATGATCTCATGGTTCGTGAGTTTGAATTTCGTGTCTTATCAATGCAGAGCCTGCTTGGGATTCTCTCTCTCCCTCCCTCTCTGCACCCACCCCCCGCTTGCCCAGTCTCTATCTGTCTCAAAATAAACAAAGTTAAGGAAATCATCATAGTTTAAGTTTAGGGAAAACAATAAAGTCTAACTTTCTGAAATGGCATAAAGACTGGAGAGGACAAGAAGAACAGGCAAGATCTGCTAAGCATAGAATGGACGTGATCTGGAAGTCTGATGTTACAAACTGGCCAGCTCAAGGACCAGATGCAGGCTGCAAAAAAGTTTTGCTTGGCTTGTCCAATGTTTTTAAAATGCCTAAATTTATCTTCCAAGTCACGGGTCCCCCATTCCCTATTGACTTTCTCCCAACCGCCTTACTCATTGACTTTACCTGCTGGGCCCTAGTAAGCATCAAATGCCTGGAGAATGGCGACATCATTAAAAGAAATAACAGAACTTGGGAAAGAAAGAAGTGAAAATGGAGATTTTAAGAATATATGAATTTGAAAGGCTGATGAACCCACTGACAGAACTGTCCACGTAGGTTGAGAGTTGAGGCTCTAGAGAGCATGGACACAAAGAAGCTAACAGCAAAATCCTGGGCATCTCTCAAGTAAGGGCTGTAAGTCACCAGAATCACAATGACGGGGGGAGGGGGGGGGAATGAAAGAGAAACAGTGTGGAGCAAGGCTATGGAGGTCAGAAAGAGAGAACTTCAAAAAGATAAGGAAAGCCCAGCTGAGATTAGTTAGCATTAACTATGGTTCAAACTGCCATGATTTTGTGATTTTATTATCTATTACAAACTGCATGGATTTTTTTTAGATGCAACTAGTTAACGGTCCTATAAAAGTGCAGTCCACAAAAATGAATCACAAGCCCGTTAGTGCCAGAAGCATGGCTTTTCCTGAAGGGCACCTGTTGTTAAACTATCAGTCTTTAGGAGCGTAGTTTTCCTAGTCCCTGTTTCTTTCTAATGTGAAGATATGTTTGAGAATTTCATTACATGTTGTCTCTTTTTCTTACCAGCATTAATTCTCCTGAGCAATAGATTTTTTTAATCTCTCCTCTTTGGAGATGTTGCACACTGAAACTGATTAGGATTCTGTTTCAAGTCAGCTAATAGCCGAGAGGGGAAAAAATTCTGGTTTCACCTCCATCTAAAGAATAGAGCTTGGCAGGCCACATTTTTTTACTGGCTTCATTTCTGCCTCATTGACTCTACCCTTGTTCCTCCTTCTCATTTGTTATCTTGTTACATTTCACACATCCAAAAAGCCACCTTAAGTCCTTTTTTGGAACAAGCCAGAACATATAAATATTAAACATATACTTAAGGTACGATAAGCACTTTAATACTAATGGTCATTATTAAATTCAAATCCTATGTCTACAGATACAAGGCACTAGACCCCAAAAAGCTTTTCGAAACTCTTAGAACTTTCCATTTAAGAATATGGGTGAGAACACAGAGCAAAATCCAAATTTATAATAGTACCCAATCACAGCAAAATTTGAGTGGAAAAAATTAAGACTCGGCTATACGTTTCTGTGTGAAGATATGTAACATTTATTCCTGAGAATTTAGGAAAAGCAATTTGCCCTCTTTAATGACTCCGGAAAGCTCTCTTTCCAACTCAACTAACGCTATTCAAAATCAGTACGTTCCAGGGGTTGAGAAGGTGGGCTCTGGAGCCAGACCACCTGGTTTCCCAGTCCCCTTGAGCTGTGTGACTCTGGCAACTCACCTACCTCGCTTGAAAAATGGTGTTCACAGAACCTACCTAAGATTTTCTGGACTAAACGTCGTGTTTACATGGGTAAGGTGCTTAGAATAGTGTCTACAACCTTTTAAGTGAACAAAAAATTTGGTAGCTATAATTATTTTGGTTTCACAGTTGGTAAGCCTCATGAGTCTCCTGGGGTCAATGCCAAAACTTTGGATCCAAACAAGTCGATGAGTAGCTGGATTCCGGAAGCCCAAGCTAATGTGTACCTGAAGACCAGAGTCTTTCCACTGCCCTGCTGAGTAATACCTATGGAAGTGAAAGTTTCAAGTCAAGAGCACTCAAGGGCTAGTGTTTTCAGGTTTGATAACATACTTCCACATTAACTGCCTCCTACTAGAGCCCTACAAATTCATTTATTAAGTATTTATTGAGGGTCTACTTTATCATGCAGTAAGTTTTAAATACACAAAGCATTAATAACCAACCTACACGGACACTCTTTACCTCTGTTTCAAACTATCATAGTCAATTAATTAAAGCTACTACACATTACCAAAAGAGCAAAAATGCTTCAAAGTGTTAGACCGGTCGTGAATTTAACGGAAATCACAAGTAGGAGCCTAACACAATCTCAAGGCTGAAAATACCGAAAACATACAAAGCGTGATAACAGTAAGTAAACTTTGAGATCCCAGTAGCAGGAGTCGGTCCCACATGGGAAGTATTTGGTAGGAGTGAGGAATATAGTGACAACTGCTTAGTCCCACTGGACCATTCGCTCCTCTTCAGGAAGAATACTCCAGTTTGGGGACGCCATATCCCGGGCCAGCCAGTTAAAATCGTCGACGTCGTTCCAGTTATTTTTGCTCCTATCTAAACCAGAGCCCTCGAAGTCCTTGTCGATACCCGGGTAGCTCCAGGTATAAGGGGCGAACTGGATCCCGCTACAGTCTTCCACGATGGCCCTACTGGTCACCTGCAAGAAGATGCGGGTGTCTCTCGTAGTGTGTACGCGCAGCTGTTGGCAGGCCACGGCCAGCACGCAATCACTGCAGTCCTCCAGGAACACAGAGGTGGACACTGGGCCGCAGAGCACCGTGCAACTTCGGGCTTTGGCCAGCCGCAGGGTGTTGGGATTGCCATACAGTCTGACTGTGCATTTGCTCAGTTCGGTCAAAAGAACGTCACGCTGGTGCAGCTCCCCTGCCCTCTTCTCCAAGACTTGGGACTCCACGTTGGAGAAGCCGAAGACCCAGCTGGAGCCGATGCCTCCCTCCTCCTTCAAGGGCGGCGGGGAGGCCAGGATGCCTTCTGCCGCCGGGGCTCCAGGAGCGGAGTCTACTTTGGCGGCCGAAGCAGCGTCCTTCCTCCGGGTCTTGAAAGCGAAACGCTTCTTGGGCTGCAGCTCCTGGCGCCGCTCGGCCAGGGTCGTCTGTAGCCGCGTCAGCGCCTCCTGTCCCTGCCGCAGGTCGTAGGCGGCCAGGAACAAAACCGAGTCGTTGACAAGTTTCTGCAGGCCCTGGAGCCGAGCGGCCGCCTCCTCCAGCCGTTCCATGGATTCTCCGCCCTCCAGAAGCTCTTCCACGGCCGCTCGCTCCCGAGCGAAGGCGGCAGCGAAAAAGTCGCTCTTCTCCTCCTCCACCTCCTGGTTCTGCCGCTTTTGCTTCCGCCTTTCCACCTCCAGTTGACGCTCTTGCTCTCGTCTCTGAAGCCGCTCAGGCACCAGGCTCCGGTCCCGCTGCGACCCCACGGCCCCATTCGCGGCGGCGGCGGAGCAACTAGCAGTCTCCATCTTGACTTCAAGCTTCCTTTCTCCTGCCTTGCTTCCTCCTGGCGCGCCCTGCGAGAGGCCTCCCACCAACGCGTCCTGTGATTGGCCGGACATGCTTACGTCAGCCCCGGCCTTATTTTCTTAGCCCATTGGCTCCTCCGCGTCGGAGAGGGCGGGGATATGAGGCGGGGCCGATTGACAAGGGGGGTGGGGAGACAAAGGTCCTTGTGGATGGGTGGGGTGGGAGACAGGAGGGGGAAGCTTTTTTTCCTCTTAAAGGGGCAGGACTTATATCCGGGATTGTGGGGTGAGTTGCAGCAGCGGCAGCTGCACATGTGGGTTTGTTTATAAGAACAAGGTTAGAAACTCGCAGGCCTCCCCCTCCCCCCAGCTCCTCCCTACTACCCCCTTACAGGCCGGAGATCCGCTACTGGTGGGGGGAATGTGTGCGTATGGTGGGTGGGGGGACAGGTAGTGGTGAGAAAGATGGAGGGGGGGGTGGAATATTGCACCGCCCGGCCCGCGTCGGAGGAAGCGGCAGCTGGAACAGCTGGCTAGGGAGCCGCTTGCATGCCTCTGGTTTTTTCTTTTCCCTTCCACCACCCCCTCCCCCAACCCATTCCTGCCGCCCCCAAACCCTCATTCTACCCGCCTTCCTCCCTCAGCCGCTGCAGTTCCGCGTGGCCTGGGTCTCCTGGATTCCCGCAGGCACTTACGGGGGCGGGAGTAGGCGAGGGGCATTGGGATGGGAGAGACTGGGTTTCTCACTGCAACCGGGTTCCGGGGGCCCAGGGGCAGTCTAAAAACGGATTACTATTTTTTTGGCCAATTGCTGCAGTCGGAGGGGTGGGGGCGGGGGAGGGTGAGATTCCACACCCCCTTCCTCTTCCTCCCACGTCCTCCCCCCCTTCGAGGTCAGTCGCTCTGCAGCTGCGCGCCGCTGGCCGCGCGGGGGTGAGACCCGAGCCCGGGGTTCTGCTGCTCTCCCGTGGGACCGTCGGTCTTTAGGAAAGCGTTGAGGGAAATGTTACATTATTTCTAGGGTGGTGGGAGGGATTTGTCACCGGAAGTGAATGAGCCTAGCCTAAAGTCGGGATCAGCCGGAGGTGTGAGTGGGCAGCCAAGCCGGCGCAGTCACTAGCAAAACGCAGGGCCACCGGCCGGCTGAGAGCCGGGACGCCGCGGGCTGCGGGCGCACGGCAACCTCGCGTGCTCGGGGCAGCCCGGGGAGCGCAGGGCGCGCCTTTGACCGCGCCCGCCTTGCCAGGCTTCGGTTTCACCCTGACCTCCACCCCCGTTCGCAGCCTCCCATCGTTGCTAATTGGGGTATTTGCCCAAGAAACTGTCCGTTGAAATTTCACTGATACACCTGCATTTTGATGCATAGAAAGATGGGAGGAAACGAGAGAATTACGACTTATTTCCAGTTTTTCACGCCCCACTCTCCTCTTTCCGTTCCCACTTAAAACAGCAAAACACACGTAAATTCCCTTATTTTTCCACTGAAAGCAAGCACACATCGCACTGTTGGGCAAATTGTGCGCCCCGGGGGATAGGGGTGGGGGTCCCGGGTGTTTGTGTGTGCAGCAGATGGGAACCGGGGTGCTGAAAAAATCCTGTGCTTAACGCTTGTAGTATATATTCTTCGTTTTCGTTCGCTTTGTTTTCATGTGCAGACTAGACGAGGCTTTTTGTGTGGTTTGGTTATGAGGCTGGTGAAAGAAATATAGCTGGTTAACTTGTCTAAGCCATACGGAGGCGTAACAATAGCTGCGTCATTTTATAAAGAGTTGATTTAACCAAGGAAGGTTTAAAGAAGATTTATTTTGCTAGGGGGAACGACCCCAAAAACAAAAACCTGACCTGCCTCCCTTAAGTTTTTCAGCAATTGAATCTGTCCCACTCAAGTTTGGAGCCAACCGAGGTTTACTGGAGCTGCAGGTGCAGTGAGGCAACATTTCTGCATTAGCCATAGTGGACTATGGGTGGTCGTTAGTGTCTGTATCAGAGGTGGAATTGAATGTCATTAAGCCTTCCCAAGAGCTTCATTTCTGCCCCCAAACAGGTTTTGGCATAGAGGCCAAGAGACTTTGGAAGTTTCTGAATATTTTAAGTTGGGCAGTTCAAACTTTTATGAGAAGAGGTAAAGGACAAAAAGGGACAGGTTGTTGGAGGCAGTTTCAAAGACCGATGTTGGGCCTGCGTGGGAATGGACAGTGGTCAGTGGTGTGGTCATCATGAAGGATTGGCTTGACTGTTCTTTACAGACCCCAGCAGAGCTGCAAGCCAAGGTAGGTAGGTGGTCAGAACATGAATATAAAGCTACGTTTCTATGTTCAAAAGCAATAGGAGGGTTATAAAACTTCCAGCAGTGCCGGACTGTATTTGTGTCTTTTTTCTGACATTTGAGGGCAGACAATTCAGTGTGCATCCTTGAAATGGATCCCAGCTCCTGGGAGGTAAGTGCCTGTTGAATGGAAGGAAAGAGGGTGATGTATTACAACGATGTGAAATGTGGCAAAAGGCAAGCAGCTTGAGAGTTCTGAATCCTACTTTCATAACCTTCAGGAGTTTGTGAATCAAGTACTACCCCTCTTCTAGACATCTTGAAAGAATTCTAAGGTATTACAGACTTTAAAAATTATTTAACAAAAATTTATGGTTTATGGTTCTATTTGTTAGATTTACTTTATAAGAAGATCCTGAAATTTTCAAGCATAGAAAAGGGGACAGTAGAGGTGATGTGTATGTATCACCCAAGCTTCAACAATTACCAACTGACAGTCCGATTTCTTCTGAATCTCTGACCACTTACACACCCCATCACCCTGATTATTTTACAGCAAATCCCAAACATTATATTATTTCATTTTTCATAATCTATAAATATTTCAATATGTCTCTCAAAATGATGAGGACTACCTTTTCAAAGTTTACTTATTTATTTTGAGAGAGTGAAAGAGAGTGCACACAGGGAGGGGCAGAGACAGAGGGAGAGAGAATCCTAGGCAGGCTCCATGCAGTGTGGAACCTAATGCGGGGCTTCATCTCGTGAACAGTGAGATCGTGGCCTGAGCTGAAGTCGAGAGTTAGATGCTTAAAGCAACTGAGCCACTCAGGCGCCCCTACCTTTTTAAAACATAACCACATATGGAGTGCCTGGGTGGCTCAGTCGGTTAAATGTCTAACGTCAGCTCAGGTCATGATCTCATGGTTCGTGGCTTCGAGCCCCGCGTCGGGCTCTGTGCTGACAGCTCAGAGCCTGGAGCCTGCTTCGGATTCTGTGTCTCCCTCTCCCTCTGCGCCTCCCCTGCTCATACTCTGTCTCTCAAAAATAAATAAAACATTTTCAAAAATAATTTAAAAAAACCATAACCGCATATCACCACACTCCAAAAAAGTAGTGATATTTCCTTATCATCAGAGTTCCAGTCTGTATTCATATTTCCTTGATTATCCTATAATTTCCCCATTTTAACTTATTTATTGAATAAGGAACCAAAAAAGTTCCATATAATGTGTGTAGCTGATATGTTCCTTAAATCACTTTTAAATCCTGCCCCCCTACCAATTGTTTTGTTAGAAAAACCTGATTATTATTAGTTCAGTAGAGTTTCCCAAGTCTGGATTTTGCTGGTTATGTCTCCATACTGTGTTAGATGTTAAGTATTTGTCATATTCATTTGATCTTGTAATGTCATAAAGTGAATGTTTATGTATTTATGCTGCAGGAAATGAAAGTATCTCAGAACAGAAAACAGTTTTTGGGTGTCTAGGCAGCCAGGAGTAAGTCCTTTTGCTGTTCTGTGGAGTTTATCAGAGACCCTGTGTGGATGAGAGATACCAGGCAAATAAACAGTTCCAGGCCGTTTTCTGGTAGCTCAGTTCCAAAAGAGGTGGTATCTTTCAGCAGACGTTGACTATTGGATATAAAGCACTCATTAAAGAGCTCTCCATGCAAGTGTCAAATGTTAGGCAAATTTTCCAACTTTCCGGACCATGAAAGATGACCGCGTGAAGGCATGTGCTGTCCTTGAAAAGACACCACGTTGGTCTGGGAAGCAGGACAGGAGCAGGCCCCTTCCTTCCACCTTTGCCCCTGGCTCTTATATGCTCTTCAAAACCCTTCTCTTTCTGGAACTATTTGCATCATTGTGCATCTAATGCCTAGCCCAGAGGCTGGCACCGTTTATTAAGCCAGCATCAGTTTATGAAGCACTTACTGTGCCCCACGCCTCCCCCACTGAACCCAGGGAGGCCCTCAGGCTGCCAAGGTGAATAAAGACAGGCATAGCCTCTTTCCTCTTGGGGAGGCCTAACCTGGGCAGATAATGGCACAAATATGTAAAATTGTAACAGTGACAGTGTTACAGAGGAAAAGAGGAACAGTGAGTGCCTCCAGGGGGAGGTTTGACCTTGCTGGGGAGGTCAGTGAAAGCTTCCTTAGGGGTTGAGCTGAGGCTGGAAGGGTGACCAGGAATCGATAAAGAGAAGTGAGTGAACACTGGAAAGTGTCTTCTAGATGTATGGGCTCATGGAGTCACTGGTGACTTTGTGGAGAGCTGTGCCAGAGGACTGCTGTGGGCAGGAGGCATACCACACGAGTGTGAGCAGGGATGGAACACCGTAACTGAGCTAGTGACACACAGATAAGTCTTTGGAGAAGTTTGACCATGAGGGGGAAGGGCCACTAGCTGGGGGTTGGGAGGAAGCCAGTGAGGTGTTTTTTTTACAGAGAAAACATAGGTTCATAATACAAGGATCCTGAAAAGGCT